ATGGTTGGGGGCTGTCTAGAACGCATAGTGAGGGACAACACTCAGCCGTCTAGACAATCGAACAACACGTGCTATCTGACAGAATCCTGCCATAACCGAGCAATACGTACAATTTCACTTAAAGCCGTTATTACGAGTTTTGCTCAGAAACCTTCAACCCAAAAAATTAAAGTGAAATATAGTCTCACCTCACAGCGGATAGATCACTGATTACACCAGCATTAAAAACACTAAGATTTTATGCAGTTATAACATAGAAAATTGGATATGAACAAATCGTAACAGCAATGCATTTTTGTAACGACCCTGTTACAAGGCTCCCCCCTCCCCGACGCGACGCGATCGCCTCGCGACGCGACGCGGAGGTATTGATTGAACAGCGTTGCCCCTGGCAACCAGAGGCAATCAATACAGCCGCGCGCGGCCGGCCGGTCGCAGTTAGGACTGCCGCAGTCGCGATAATGGGGTGCTAGCTGATTGAGGGATTAACGCTACGGACGTGAGGCGACAGCAATATATTAGGCATAGCGCTATAGCATTGACGATATTAAGACAATAATGCAGACTGACACTAGCTGTTCAGTCATGCATGTAATCTAGTCCAAGCGGCTTAGTTGCCGCTAATCAGGCGTGAAGCTAATCATCGCCAACGTCAAGGCGCCATGTTGGGCACTCGCAGCGTGCCGGCGCCGTTAGGGGCCGCCACCTCCTGGAGGGTAGTGGCTCAGAATAGCGGGTCTTTCCCGTTAGGTGCCGCCACCATCCAGAGCAAAGGTGGTGAAGCCAGGCGGAAGCCAACCGAACGTGCATGAGACGGACGCAGTGGTTGGTGCACGCGGCACGTGGGTGAGCATGCACCGCGCGCGTGGCAACGCCTATATAAACTGCTGCACGAGCAGAAATCGGGGAATGCTCCTCTGACTCTGGACACGACCGCCTGTGTATGTCAAGCAATAGTCTACTTCAATAAAACAACTAGTCATGGTATATATTCTTTGACTTCTCTTTCTCTATGTCTTTTGGCTACGAACACGACATCTTAATCTACGACTGTATAGTAACGTAAACCTCTTCGTTACATTTTATGGTGTCGCAATAATGGCAGAATTGGTAATCTTGTAAATTGTCGGTGATAAATTGAAAACAACTACATTTGAGAGAGACTGTACTATGTCTATGGCAGATAGGCTGCGGCGCTACTAGCTAGTCCAAGACTACCGGCTTCAAGATTACAGCACACGCTTGTTTACCAAACTAGTTCGAAAATTGAATGTTTTTGGTGAATACGAAGGTTCTAGACATTACTCAAGCAATAACGGTAGGTATCATGAAAGTGGTGAAAACACTGGAAAACTCGTGATAATTACTTTAACAATGGCTGGAGGCTCGGAACTGTTTCACATACAAGAGCGGTATCATTGCCGAAATGCATAAAACATAAAAGTGTAACACTAACAGTTCTCGCAGCATTTCCAATGACGCACGGTGTCCGGAGAAACTTGTCGCTGGAGTTTGGGTTGGTGTAGGCTTGGTTGCTAAACACCTCGGGACTTGGGAATGCTCTGTCCGCAGCACGAGTCATCAGCAGCCGTGGTTGACCCTCAGCCGCCTAGCATGTCCGGTGGAGATCGACGACGAGACACTGTTGATAAACGGATAATATACGCGGTTGAAGTCAACATATTGAGCAACTGTATATGTACACGCACTATCAGTTTTAAACAACTTAATTTCGCTGGTCATCTAAATTTAACAAAAAAATAACACTAACAAGAAAAGTATGAAATAAAGAATAAACTCAAATGTCTTTTATTTAACATGCTGTTCATGCACGTTTAAATATGATATTAAAAGCTGATATTATCAGTCTCAATCCAAAGTCATAAACCCTCAGAATGTTATAATAAAGTATGGTAAAAAACATTTCACTCTGAATTGGACAAAACAACAGTATTATATATCATTATCTGGTCACACTAGGTTAAATGCACACCAATAGAAAGTTAACAATGCTGGCTGCTGCAGTCCATACTGTAACACAACCTAACTTTAGTGAAAGCACAGTAATAAGCACAATTTTATAAATTATTTACAATATATTACTACATAGTGAAGATCAACAAATAGCGACCAGCGAAGACTCTCGAACAATGTTGGCTGCTGCAGTCCATACTGTAACACAACCTAACTTTAATGAAAGAACACCAACAAGCACAATTTTATAAATTATTTACAATATATTACTACATAGTGAAGATCAACAAATAGCGACCAGCGAAGACTCTCGAACAATGTTGGCTGCTGCAGTCCATACTGTAACACAAGTTACACAACCTAACTTTAATGAAAGAACACCAACAAGCACAATTTTATCAATTATTTACAATATATTACTACATAGTGAAGATCAACAAATAGCGACAGAACACCAACAAGCACAATTTTATAAATTATTTACAATATATTACTACATAGTGAAGATCAACAAATAGCGACCAGCGAAGACTCTCGAACAATGCTGGCTGCTGCAGTCCATTATGTAACACAACCTAACTTTAGTGAAAGCACAGTTAAAGTAGTAATGAAGGCGGCATCTGAGGTACACGACAACAAGTGTTTTCACAATGTATGTGTGCATAGAACACACTTCCAATGTGGACAGCGGAACACGGTTGCAGACATATTGTTCAAGCTCTTTCAACAGGCTAGTGCTAGCAAGCAGATCTTCATTTTTTTGCTGAAAATTGTTTTCGACCTGCTTCAGGATGCGCATAAAATCTCTTGATAGTTCATTCAAGGCTCCAAATGCACCTTTCTTGTGACTGTAAGCCTTTAGATTCACATACAGTTGTCCATCCTCTACTACGTCATCCTCTGTTGTCAGCAAAATCCTCAGACAATCCTCACAGAAAAATTCAAACATTTCTTGAATTTTGTGTACTAGATAACCCCCTATGTACGCAAGCACATTGGTCACTTCTGCAGGAGTTTCAAAGTACGCAGTTGCAATAACCTTGAGTTCTTTCTGTGCAACAGACGACTGCTCGGGCTTTGTCCTAGGGCGTTTTGGTGCTGGTTCCTGTGAGTGGTCTTTATGCATGCTACATGCTTCACTGGATAGATGCCTTAAACTGCTGAGCATTATGTCGTTGTCATAGACACAGTTTGCAGATGGAAGGCTCGCCAATATAAAATTTGACGACAGGTTTCTGTAGGCAAAGCGGAACTCTCGTGCAGATGGGTTAAACATGTGTCCTCCTTTCGATCTTACCTGGGGAAAAACGTTTTCTATGCAGTCTTGGTTTAGGCGCCCAGTAAGCAAAAACTCCAAAGGCCCTTTCATCACCAAATCCTCATGTATTGATATGACAACATTGGTGTCTTGAATAAGACCATCAAATTAAGGTGGTCTGTACTTCTTTCCTGCACTATCATGTGCCATTTCTGAGCCTGAGCTTTCGGATCCAGTAGGGTGTTCAGCTGCTTGCCGTTGTGTTTCGTGAATGGTGCAGCAGTCTTTCCATATGCCCTCACATTGAAACACATCATTGACTAGTTTTAGAAAGTCCGCTGTCATGTGTGCTGGCTCACGAGTCTCCCAATGGATGCCAGAATGTGCATCCCAGCATACACTGTGAGAGCAGACCTGTGCTGCAAGACTGACCTGCAAAACAATTAGAAAATCTCAATTGTATTTACACATAAGGGAAGGGCATAACGGACCCCTTAATTTTGGAGCTCTCCCACATAAACATGCTTACACTTAGGGTGTTCAACCAACATACTTAACTCGTGTTGGCATTAGGTTTACATCATCCTATCAGTGGAAGTCACTTATCTTTTTCAGCCATTCCTTAAAAATCACATATATTTTTCGGTGTGAAAGGACCATTTTACCCCACGTATTGGGTAAAATGGCTCACCCCCTAGGGGTAATATGGACCCACCCGGTCCATTTTGCCCCAACTCGCATTTTTATATGAAAAATCACTTTATACACAAACAAAATTTAAAAGGAAACATATTTATTAATCACAGAACTCACAAACAAACTCATCATCGTTTTCTTCAATTCCAGCACATTTGGTATAGGCCCATTTTTGGCACTCAGTGCACCTAATCATGGAATCCTGCTTTGTGTCGCTCCACATTTCCCCACAGTATATGCATTGGGCATCCTCTTCATCCATGTCATCACGCTGGCCAACGGTCTCAGGTGGATTATCGTCTTGGTTGGGTACCTGATTCCTAGGACGCTTGGCCTGGGGTCGATCACGAGACGTGGCAAGACGTTTCCCCTCTTTTTTCCTTGGCCTGTCTGGACGCTTCCCTTTTTAGCCTTCCTGGCTTGAGCTTCCTTCTCCTTCTCAGCTTTAGATCGTTTAGTTTCTTCAAGGTTTGCCTTGTAGGGGCTGCTTGTCAAAATCACTGTCTTACCACGACGTGCATTTGGTCGTTTGTTCGATCTGGCTGTCACCTTGGGTGGGGGCGAAATCTCAAATGGAGAAATAAACTTGCACGAAGTGGAGGGTTAATCTGGAACTACTGGCTGAGTGGCAGGTTGATCTGGAACCTCTGGCTGAGTGGCAGGTTCAGCTGGAACCACTGGCTGAGTGGCAGGTTGAGCTGGAACCACTGGCTGAGTGGCAGGTTGAGCTGGAACCACTGGCTGAGTGGCAGGTTGAGCTGGAACCACTGGCTGAGTGGCAGGTTGAGCTGGAACCTCTGGCTGAGTGGCAGGTTGAGCTGGAACTACTGGCTGTGTGGCAGGTTGAGCTGGAACCACTGGCTAAGTGGCAGGTTGAGCTGGAACCACTGGCTGAGTGGCAGGTTGAGCTGGAACCACTGGCTGGGTGGCAGGTTGAGCTGGAACCACTAGCTGAGTGGCGGGTTGAGCTGGAACCACTGGCCGAGTAGCCGGGTGACCTGTGTGACCATCTTCCGGAGGTCCAATGTTAGTGGGCTCACAAGCAGCAAACTCATGTGGCTCAATGATATCTCTATTGTATGGGTATATCCCTGTCTTCCGGAGGTCCAATGTTAGTGGGCTCACAAGCAGCAAACTCATGTGGCTCAATGATATCTCTATTGGATGGGTATATCCCTGTCTTCCGGAACTCATTCATAGCAGTTTGGGCAGTTGCTGCTCTTGTAAATGCATTGCCAAATAGTTCAGCAGTCTGGAAAGTTGTCACTACTCGGCCCAGATGGTTGCGCAGCCAGTTTTCAAACTCCTGGTCGTAGTATGTCATCAATGGTTTTATAAAACTAACATCTAACGGCTGCATTCGATGGGAGCTGTGGTGTGGTAGACAGAGTAGCACAACATCTTTATCTCTCGCAAGATCAATGACTTCAAGATTCATCGCATGAGTAGCATGACTATCCAAGATCAACAGAACTGGATTTTCCTTACTTGCTCTTGTTGCCTGAATTAAATGCTGGAACCAGACTACGAATATGGTGAGCTGCATCCAACCACTCTTATGACATGCGTAAATGGATCCTGGTGGGGCACCATTCATTAGCTTCATTTTCATACAGACCCGTGGGAAGATGAATAAGGGGGATAAATGTCCCTGTGACGTTCATGCATAGCTCAACTGTAACAAGCTGCCCACGTTCCGCTGACACTAAGCCTCCAACTTGTCGCCTCCCAGTCTTTGCAAGTACTTTGGAGGGTTAGCCCTGGACAGATAAATAATAAAGCATAATACGGATAATAAAGCATTTCTCAGAAACTAGTTATCAAAACGAAGTTTTGTCATTTCGATAGTGTAACGTTCCCCCTTTCTCACATTGCCATTTTCCTTTGCGTGATCCCCCTTATGAGTTCTCCCGTCAACTCCTCCGGCCATTATCACTGGTCTAAGATTCGATCGCTGGATTGTGAACTCGACTGATTCGTCGCATGATGTGGTGCAAACGAGGAAGACAGACAAATCAAAACCCAACGGAGACGGATTACTTTATGCGTCGGTCATTCACCCAATGTGTTTAATCATCAAATAACATGAAACTTAATACACTTACGGATACGCGCAGATCGGTCTCATGATATATGTAAATTCGTAACACAAAAAAAATGTAGGAAACAGTATAGGAGCCGGCTTAAGGCACGGTAGGAATGAGTAACACCATGAACAGAATGCTAAGAGGGTGAAAAACCGCGAACTACCGATTGGTCACTGGGTGGATTTCGATTGCATTATTCCGTGATTGGTTAGAACAAAGCCCAATTTGCCGTTTTGATTAGAGGCTGTACATAAACAAAGCAGTGGCATGACAGGTTCCCGCATACAGTTTCGCGCGAGTGACAAGCGGGTGGGGGGTTGGGATGACGTACGTATGCGAGCGCGCTGCTTTTGGCGTGCGTATTGATCGGCTATGAGCAATGCGATGACGTAATGCTTGTGTGTTGGCGAGGCCGTTTAGAAATGCGGCCGAAATCGACGCCGCTACGCACGTGGAGCGCGCATGCGCAGAATGGATTCTGATCACTCGCCGCCTCGGCAGCGCTGGCCGCGTATGTATGCCTCTAGCATGCTATGTATAGTATAGCGTGGTATACGTAACGCGGGCCGCTATGCCAGAGCCGCTGTGAAAGGGGGGGGGCGTGACGTAGAAAGTAACGATTTTTCGTGTAAGAGGCGGTACGGCGGGGACGAAAAGGGTGTTAGCACGCGGTAAAACGGCAAATTGGAAGCGTTAAAAAGGGGAGAAGGGTATAAATGTACGAGAGAGGCGTGAGGCGTGCGAAGCGTGAGAGGCGTGGGAGCCGTGAGAGGAGGCGGAGAGCGGTTGAGGCGGAAAGGTGGAGGAGGAGAACGGTTGAGGCGTGAGAAAAGCGAGAGTGAGAGCGAGAGCGGCTGAGGAGTGAGAGAGGCGAGGAGTGGTGACGAAACAGCAGTAATCGTTAGGCGCGGTCGCGGTTAACGCAATAATAACGCGTACAAACGAATGTATTTAAGTAACATGGATTTACGAAACGGTAGCTCGAGCATACGTTAGCCTAGAACAAGATATGTCACACTTACGTGTACATGGCGAAGTCGAACGCTCGGTACGATGGCGTGTGTAGCAGTTTGCGTGCGTCTCGTTGGAAACAGGTGACGTTGACCGCGGTACAACTCGTGCTTAGAGAGAAAAACAGATATTAGAACCAATACGATACTAGATACTAGATGCTACACCGATACGGGGAACGTGGCAATCTACGCACGTATTGCTACTACCCCAAACTAAACCGCTGGTCACATGCACCAATCTAAGCAAGGGATTTAGCTTGTCGATCCCACAGGTTCTACGGCTTAGTGGGTGCGCTAGTGGCACCCGTTTCTTAGTGGGGGTAGTAACAGGTTGCGTTGACCGAGTCCAGGATAGATAACACAGATAGGATAACACGAACACAGTATTGGTACGCTACTCTTCGTTCGTTCTATTATACCACAGGATATTCTCTTAACAGTGTAAATGCACGCAGCTCCACGAAACTACACAGATGACATCGCACACACAGAATACCGTATATCAGTAATTTCGTACCGTAAGACGTGGATCGCGAAGTAGCTCAGCAGGGGTGAAGGTGGAAAGTGAAAGGTGGAAGGTAACGGTGGAAAAGCGCGGTATAGAAGGAATAGGAAGGAAAGAACGGGAGCGCGGGCAAAGCTGGACCGTGCCACGGGAAGGATGGAAGCCGAGTCCCTTAGTCCTGCGCGTTTGGCGTCAACAAGTCCATAATAGTTGTCTAATGGCCCCAGTATATCACCCGCGTGACTGATATTGGTGCTATCTTGGTGGCCTACGCCGTGCGGCGAAGCTGAAGCAGACTCATGGGGAATTATCAAAGTGAACCCTAAGTGTGGAGAAGCCAGCACTTTCTTACACTTGCCGCTTTCCTACATTTGCCCTGCCCCCTCTCTCTCGCGTGCCGGAAGTCAAAATTAAAAAAAACGTTACATAAGTTTTGCGTCTTGACCTTGTAAGTATGTATGCAAAGTTTTGTGTAAACAAATTAAAAATTGACGCCGTAATTGCGTTTTAAAGAATTTGACCTTTTGGCCCCCACCGCGGGGGGGGGGGCGGAGTCAAAATTTCGAAGGGCTCATGCGCATTCCTGATGTTGGGTCTATCAATCTCAAAAGTTTTAAGTCTCTACGTCAAACGGTCTGGCAGGAGTTCAACGACATTACGGACAAACGTACGTACGACGGAGGGTAATACATGATTCCCACTTTTTTTTCCAAAAACGGGAAGGTGCCAAACAATTATGCAATCTCATCACGTATAGTCTCCGCGGAGTCCGTTGTGTTGAAGCAGATTTTGCCCGCCATCCGCTGCATTGTCATGTTGGCAATTGTGTTTGCACTGGGTACGGTGTACGTGCCATCATGTGCTATGGCCGAGTCGTGTGGTAAAATCATGACATCTTTCGTGACCACACGACCTTTGCGCTTGGCCGCACGATCATTATTGCGCAGAGTTACAGGCCGTGTTCGCTTTTTGTGTCTCAAGACAGGCTGTTAAACAAGAGAAATATCATGAACTACCTGAAAAACAGCCATGATTCATGAAATAAAGTACAATGGGAATTGGCAGATGGCCAGATATTAATGTGTTGACAATCTAATTATTTTCTAAGTAATTCTAAGTTTTAAAAATAAAAGTGCCCCTAAAAACGTGTAAAGTACACACATCGAGGTAAATAGAATACATTTTGAATTGAAAACCCCCTCTCGATCCCCTATAACATTTCAAACAAATATCGGTGAAACACCCCCACCCCCTATTTTTGTTTCGTCGCGGTGCCCCCCACTCCTTTTTTGGGTCTTTTCGAATCCCCCCACCTTCAAAAATGGAACAGCACTGAATGATTAATTGGTTAAGAATACGATTACAGGGGCCGATTACCCGGTTACAAAAATCTGTAACCGTTTAAGATCTAGTTTAATGTAATTTACTGCCTCACCATAATTGTGGGATAATCCTGGTTGTCCTGGAACTCGTCTTCTGAATTGGTGGCAGCTGATGTTGTTAGGGCGTTGGGCGTTGTGGGTGCGTTGCGGGCTGCTGTAGTCTGGTTGGATCGCTGCCAAATTGATAAAATAAATTATATTATTAGACAAGGGGATATTACTCGCAACACCACGATACAACATTTGACTTGAGAAAATGTTATTTGTCTTTAACAGAGTATCACAAAACTAAAACTTAGTACGTACACTTCTTTATCTTCCTTCTTTATCATGTGTAAAAGGTGAGGCCGAAAATCATTTTTTCTCTATTTCTCTATTTTTAGCTCATCTGACATAGTCAGATGCAGCTTGTAGAATCGCATGCTCGTCCGTCCGTCCGT